GGTAGAAAAGAACAAACAAACAATAAAATAAAAGTAAACAAAAAAAAAAGAAAAAAAAATAACGAAAAAAGGCAGAAAGAAACCAAAAGATGGTATAAAAAAGAACAAAGGGAAAAATAGTAGAAGAAAGTACCGAAAAAAAATAAGCAGGCGACAGAGGGGGAAAGAAAAACGAGCAGAAGAAGAAGAGAAAGAAAGAGAGAAAAAAGAGGAACGTAAACCAGTAAAACCCAAGCAGAGAGGAACCAAGACAAACCAGCGCCCAGAAGAACAAGCGAAAAAACAAACAAAGGAGAGGGGTTAACGGGGTGAGAGGGGGGGAGAGGGAGGGAGGTTTCTCAGAAAGAGGCGGGGTTTGCTGTTGTTCTGAAGAACTAGAGGGGGAGGGGAGAGGGGAGAGAAGGGCTGCGTTGAGGGTTGGGCTGTGGGGTTGCTCCCCCGGCCCCGGGGGGTCGAGGAAACGGGGGGTGCGGCGGGCGTTGCCGTCTGGGCTGGAGACGCGGAGGATGGATTTGGGGACCATGGTGGAGGTTGGTGGTGGAGGGGATCTGATGGACACGTGTTAGTCTTGGAACCTGTCCGCGGCTGAGAGATGGCAACACTCACTTTGACCTCACCACACTTCCCACCAGAGTGGAAGCCTGACTGAGCCGTTTGGCAGCCTCGGGAGCTGTCTTGTTGACCTTCTCCAAAGACCCATTCTTGCTTCCAGACTTTGTCGACTCTTCCGACCGCTTCGGATCAAGATTCGAAAAGTTTGGCTTTGCGTGCCTTGCCTTAGCACTAACTGGATCCTCCAACCCCATGAAGCCAGAAAATGAAAGCTTCCGTGACATTGATGCCGGACGTGCCTTCTTCTTGGTGGTGTTGTCCCTGTTGCTGTTATCCCAGCCTGTGCCAAAACTATGGCTATGTCTCCGTTGTGGCTTTGAAAGGCCTTGGCTAGGGGTAGCTGTGTGTTGTGTGGCAGTCGACGATGTGCTGTTTGACGATGACGAAGACAACGGCGACGAGTTTGATATGATCGATTTGGGGCCAATCTTGGTCTGTAACCCAGTCCATGAAAGAACAGCCGAGTGGACTGATGAAAATGAATCCTTCCTCTGAGGCCGGCGCGCACCCTCCAACCTATGCTTTGTCTCTTTGGTATCGTTCGACATGTTGATGGCGATGTAGCACGGGGATAAGGGGCAATAAACACAGAAAAAGTGGGTTGACGAAGCACACCACCATAAAGAATTGTTTGCAAACGGGGTCAAATATAATTGTATTGTCTACGGAAGACAATTGATCCCCTAAACAAAAACAACCAAGCCGGACATGTGCCGATTTGGAGTCGAGGTAGTTCAGGCATGGAGTTGGGCCACAAGGGCACCACATCGCGAGCTGCGCGGGACCCAATCACGACGGCAGGACGCACATCATGCAGTAATCTGCTTCCGTGCTGCCATCTGGCAGCACTAGACGGGACAGGGTCATTTACCCGTGGCTGGGGAAACAGGTAAGAGCTGTCTGAAACTGGTCTTGATGGGGCTTCCTAGCGTACACATCGTATTCCTGTAGACCAGAGATCGAGATTCTGACCACTGGGGACGACATACAGACAGCCCAAGATTTCGCCCCAAGAGGTCATCGCCAACAGCACAGAAAACTCACTGCCACTGTTTCGGTACTCGGCCCCAAGGTGTGTGGACTACCGGGCCTGAGGCATGGCAGATGCCAATCGGCGCTAAACAAGGGAGAAGGTGAGTTGGCAACAGCTGGCGTCGACAGCGTGTCAATGTCGTGCGGGCGGTTGTTCCTGCTGGATGGAGTCTGTCTCAGGATGAACCCAGAGCGCTGACATTGGTAGACAGGAGATGAGATGACGCACGGCGCCGGGTCAGATCCGAGAGGCTACTGGTTCAGGACGAGGTGAGGAAGCCAATGCTCAAGTACGCAGAGACGCATGGTGTTGTTCAAGTTGGGACTTTTGAACGTCATGGCGATAGATGTCAATCTCCGACGGAGACAGCTCGTGATCATCCAGCTGATATGACATCCGAGTATCCCGGAAATTGATGCCAAAAGAGATCCGATCCGATCATGATCGGGTCACACGGACGGAACCGAGAGATATGCCGGCCTACCAAATCAACGGAAGGGCGCCTGGTCAGGGCCAACAGGAGAAGGCTGACGGCAGAAGCGTGGGAGACTGTGAAGGTCAGCACTTTTACCCCGCGGTGTAACAGATCACCCCGCATCCCCACCACAAGGGAAGTTGGGGCCATGGGACCTTTGCGACAGGGCTTTGATTGGTTGGATAAGGGAATCTTATCGATACCCCAGGTACGGATAGCAACGGCTGCCCTCGGTCCAATTGGTTCTGAAGCTCAGGTTCCGCCAAAAATGTCAAAAAAATTCCATGGCTTCCGTTGCGACACCATCATAACCACCGCTTGCCAACGCGTTGTATCGGTCTTCTCTCCCCTGCCATTGACGCAATCTATGCATCAATTCATTCCAAGGGCGTGACGTCCTTCAAATGGGTCCGATGTAGCAATCCGAGATTCGTGCGGCTTTGCTCTGCGAAGTCGGCCAACCACCGCGAGTCCCACCGCTTTGCGACTCATTCGTTCGTCCCTTTCGGTGCTCCGTGGTCCACCTCCTCCAATGAGTCAGGAAGCCGTTTCTTACCCAGCGCCGACTTTTGCCCCTGCGCCGCTGCCCGGTGAGCTCCGGTGCTCGGAAGGGACGGGGTGTTTACCCAGATTATCGGTGTGACGTGCGTCTGCAGGCTGTCGTTTAAGGGGTCCAGTGCGCCGGAAGCTGGATCCGACCCTGAAAATGTCGAGAGAGAGTCAAAGTATTTATCATGGATGAGACGAAGTCTCACGGCCAGTCCCGGCTGCCGACGGCGAAGGGCTTCCGCACTAGATCCCCGACTTGATAGCCAAGCCGGCGCTCGGAGCCCACGCTCAACTTTTCCTGTTTGCTGTTCCACGCCTTCCGCTTGACCATGTGGATATCCTCCCGCCAGGGTGAGGCTCCATTGGACAATTGGTGACACGGGACCATGATAAGAAGAATACCCTGGACGACCCGCCACTAGCTCAAACAAATCCAACCTTGAAGGATTTAAAGATACCTCTGTCCACCCTCCTCTGTCCCCTGGCTACCGTTAACTGGCTTCTTTCACCTTTCATTGTCACTGTATTCCTCCTGGCTCACATATTGAAGCAAAGACAGCAACGCTCTTTGTTCTCCGAGACCGAGTCACCCCGCCAACTTCCTTCTCTTCCGAATAGACACACATAAACAAATCCTCCAACATGACCGTCCCTCAGAAGCGCCCCGCGGAGGACCTCACCGTCACCGCCCTCGACAACAGGATAGCCGAGGAGCCCGCTCTCAACGGCCACAGCAACGGCGCCAACGGCCATGCTGTTTCCTCTCTCCCTACCCTCGACGCCTCCAAGATCACCATCACCCGCGCCGACCCTAATGCCCGCACCGTTCCCACCGAGGCCGAGGCCAACTCTGGCAACGAGACCATCTGCACCGACCACATGATCACCGTCTCCTGGACCGCCGCCAAGGGCTGGGCCAACCCCGAGCTCAAGCCCTACGGCCCTCTCTCCCTCATGCCCACCGCCTCCGTCCTCCACTACGCCACTGAGTGCTTCGAGGGCCTCAAGGCCTTCCGCGGCTACGACGGCAAGCTCCGCCTCTTCCGCCCCGACTGCAACGCCGAGCGCATGCTCATGTCCACCCTCCGTATCTCCCTGCCAGGTTTCGACCCCAAGGAGCTTGAGAAGCTCATCGAGATTCTCATGTCCGTCGACGGGCCAAAGTGGCTTCCCAAGGAGAGAGCCGGCTCCTTCTTGTATATCCGCCCCGCCGTGATTGGCACACAGCCCCAGCTCGGTGTCCAGGCTCCCAAGGAAGCGCTTCTTTTCATCACCGCCAGCTTCATGCCGCGCATGGATCTGCCTGAGGGTGGTATGAAGCTGCACACCAACCCCGAGGACATGATCCGCGCGTGGGTTGGCGGCTTCGGTTATGCCAAGGTTGGTGCCAACTACGGACCCAGTCTGTTGGCCACTGCCGAGGCGAGGAGTAGAGGTTTCGGCCAGATCTTGTGGCTGTACGGACCTGAGGGATACTGCACCGAGGCTGGCGCGAGCAACTTTTTCATGCTCTGGAGGACAAAGGAGGGCCAGCTCCAGCTTGTCACGGCGCCGCTGGATGATAAGCTGATTTTGGACGGTGTGACGAGACGCAGTGTGGTTCAGCTTGCGCGGGAGAGGCTGGCGGGTGAGCTGGAGGTTGTGGAGAGGAAGTACACTATCGATGAGGTGCTTGAGGCGGATAAGGAAGGAAGGATTGTGGAGGCTTTTGCGGCTGGTACTGCGGTATGTTCTTTTCCTTATCCTCAAAAACAAGTTCTAGAAGTTACGGGTTACTGACGTGATTTTTTTTTTGACAACAGTTCTTCATCTGCCCCGTCTCCGAGATCCACCACCGCGGCATCGACGTTAAGATCCCCATGGGCAAGGAGGGCAAAATTGGCCACTACACTGCCAAGCTCAAGGGCTTCGTCGGGGACATCATGTACGGCAACGAGCAGCATCCTTGGGGTGTTGTCATTCAGGAGCAGGAGTAGAGCGGTTTGTGTTTGAGGAGCATTTTGCATCTGCATCAGCATTTTGGAATTTCAAAAAGAGAGAGCAGGGATACCATAGAGGTGTCGATATGGGATGTTGAAAGTGAACAGAGCAAAAGCGGGCGTTTGGGACAAGGGAAAAAGAGCAGGGTTCTTGTTTGGCATTAGCATCGTAGCTGTTGGACTGGTTGGGACAGGAGGTTAAACTTCCTGTCTATTTTGAAATGGATAAAAACATTGAAAATTCTCAGTGCCTTTTTTAAATGCAGCTGTGGTGTGGATGTTGTTGCTGAGTGAGGGAGGTGGTATTTGTTGTCGCCTTGGCTTGGACACTCAGATCCTACGTAAATGCACACCTAGCAGTGGCAAAGCAGTGGTCATGATAAATAAAAAGACGATTGTTGATTCAACTCATCAAATTCACCACTATCAATGCTGGCTTTCATTTCTCAACTCCAGGTCATCCAGACCTAACAACCAAACAAAGAGGGTATCATATCTCAGGGGGTATCCGGTTTCTATCCCCATTCGTATCCCGTCATCCCGATCAACCCAGGTCAAGTCATTCATTCGTTCTGATGCCACTGAAAACAACCGCGATGTCCCTCAACTCAAAAACTTCAAAAAAAATCAACGCCTTTTTTTTCTGCCAAAATATGCCATGTCATTACCATCGTGAGATTAACCCGTATACCTCTCCCAACATCCGCTTCAACACCCCATGCCATTCCAAAAAGGAAGGAAAAAAAAAAACGAACGCAATGCCTACTTGCAAAAATCAAACGCAATGCAATTATCCCCTTCCCACTCAAGAATATCAATCCTTCAATATCGTCAAATCCAACCCAGGAATATTCCTCTCCCAAGGCGGTATTGACCTTGCCGAACTCCCCGTTCTCGACCTTACAGGAGGTGGTTTCTCCAGCCCTCCCCCTCCTCCAGCAGACATCACCGTCCCCTCACTAGAACTCATCCCCTCCGTCTCCTCCCCCTGTTCCTTCTCTTTATCTCTGTCTCCCTCATCATCACTCCCCCTTCGCCCACTCTCCTCACAATACTCCACCTCCGCCCCCCCCCTCCTCAACCCCTTGAACCTCCCCAGTATCCCCGCCCCCTTCTCCCCTCCCTCATCACCCCCCTTGGCTTTATCCCCACCATCCTCCCACCGAACAACAAAATCCACCATCTCCCTCCCATCCCTCACAGCCCCGAGCAGTACCGGATACGCCAAACACCCCCCCAACAAACACAGCACCGGTATCCCCACAGCCAACTCCACACTCAACCCGCCCCTCTCCCTGATAGCATAACTCACAAACGGCCAAAACATCGGGCCCGACGCCCCCATGGTCAACCACGCAGCCGCCCTCTTCGTCCTCTCCCCCTGCCCCCTCAGCCCAAGACTAAAAATCAAAGGCCAGATGGGACCCTCGCAAAAGAAAAACAACATGAGCGGTATAGCCACCAAGTTAGGGTTGCCAGTGTGCGGAAACACCAAGATGACCAACGCAAAGACCGCAGAGAGAAACACGCACAATGTCAAAACCGTGCGGGGTTTGGGGACGAGTCGGATGTGAGGTTTCGAAACGTTGAGGTAGACCACCCCCGCCGCAAGAAAGCGGGAAAGGGCAAAGGCTGTGTGGGCGATGAGGAGGTAGTTGAGGATGGAGAACTTCAGCCCCTGGGGGCGGTAGTCCGCCGCTCTTTTGGCTGTTGCGGGGAGGGAGTAAGACGCAAAGGAGCTGAAGAGCTGGTGGAAGTAGACCGACATGTTTTCTTGGGTGGCGACGTAGCACCATTGGGCGAGGACGGCGAAGAAGATGGTCCAGTTTCGGAGCTTGAAACCGCCCAAGGAGCGCTTTTTTGGTTCGAGGGGGAGCTTGGAGGCTAGCTCGGCGAGTTCGCTGTCTGATACCTCGGGGAGGGGCATGTAATAGAAATAAAGTGCGAGGAGGACCGAGAGTAAAGTGACGCCGAGGTATGTCCATTGGACGTCGATGAGGGTTTGGGACATCTCGCCGTCTTCTAGTTCGCCGTGGCTTTCTTTTTCGAGGTTGCGGAAGAAGACCTTGTTGGCGAGAAGGCCGGAGAGGACGCTGCCGACTGCCTGGACGCCCTGCGCGAGGAGGAGCCTCAGATCTCCATACGCCGGGGGACCGCACAAGATCAAAAAGGGGTTGGCGGCTGTCTCGAGGACTGCTAACCCGAACCCGACGGCAAAGGAGCTGACCATGAATCCCCCATAAGCAGTCAGGACTGCCCCGGGCCAAAACATGATAGTGCCCGTGCCATAAATGAGTAATCCCACAATAAACGTCGTCTTGAACCCCCCTATCGCCTCAACACCCGGGCGTTCCTTTCTTCCAGAGCGGCGGTGCTCGTCATGCCGTAGCAACCACTCCCCAACAAGAAGCGGCCCAGCAAAGTAACCAGCCCCAAAGTACATCGACGTCAAGCCCAAAGTCTGAGCAAACGACATCCCCGCCACATCGGCGATGACATTGTTAAGCGTGTTGAGCAGGCCGTACGAGAACCCCCAAATGAAGAAGAGAATGCAGACGATGGTGCAATACTTGAACGATTCGGTGGCGTTGGTCCGGATCATGCTCTTTGGCTTCTTCATATTAACAAAGCCAAAGTAGACGGCTGTCGCGGTAGCAGCCGAGTCTCGGTGGGGAGGCGGGACGTAGTTCATGCTATGGGCCATCGACACTCTCCTAGACGAAGGTCCACCAGAACCCGCGGCACCGGCCAAGAAATCTCTGATGGAAATCTCTTCCGACGACCGCTCATCTGGCGGGGTGATGACAAAAGCTGGGGGATCAGCTTGCGTAAATGGCGAAGGGTCCGCGATGTCGACTGGAGCTCCCTCGGCGTTTGCCAGCCCATCAGCACCAGCCCTATTGTTATCGTTGTTGTTCTTGAAAGGCGACGGCTCATCCCCCGTGAGCGTGGTGCTCCGCCTCGTAGCGTTGGGATCATACAGCATAGCCGGCAGAATCCTAACAATCAGCGGCTTGAGCGTAGGAATACACGCACACGTAATCCCCACGTTGACCTCGACGGCCGACCACATCAACGAGAGCGACGCATTCCATGAAAACGAGGGACTCTGTCCGTAGAGCGCCTCCCTGTTCGAGGAAGGATTCATAGACGTGATGTCAATCGCTTTCTGTAAGTAATAGATACGCACCACATCCACAATCGTCACAAAGATGCCGAGAGAGAACGTCAGGATCAAAATGATCTTTTGCCTCGGCGGCAGTCTCATGCTGGTCAACACCGGGATTGGCAGCGCCAGGATCGCCAGGTCGGTCGTGACGTTGATAGGAGCCGAGCAGATGAATTCGGTGAGCAGGGGAATGCACCTGATCATTCGGGTGTTGATGTCCCACGCTGCCGCGATGGGGTGGCACTGAAAGATGTTCATAAATGTCAGAATCACCCCCGCCAGGTTCACCACGCCCAACACGCCCCAGGAAGCCATCCTAAGAATCTTTTGCGTGTTCTTCGCCAGCCGCAGATAGAAAATTAGGACCGAGGATTTCGTCGCCATGAGAGCCGGGTTCTGCCATAACGTCAGCCACCATCTTGTTCGCCCTTGGGCCAGTGTTGCTCACATAGAGAATGCTGAAAACATATTCACACATCTTCAGCCCAGGCATCTTCCAAGCGTCTACATGGTCCCCATGCCTTCCTAAACCCCTCATGGTTCCAAAAATGATACTCAGACTCAAAAAGACGGTGATCAGCCACGCCAGCACGATGATGTAGTCATCAGCCCCGAACCTCCTGACTATCCCGATCCGCGACACCATCCTCGCCGCAACAAACACCGACGCCAGCGTCAGCGTCGCTGCCGTCACCGCCAAGACCGCAGGTCCCCGGTCGGCGTGCTCATCTTCCCCTTCTGCCTGTGGTACGCTGATATTGTTGTGGTCGGCCTGTCTGTAATGGTGGTAATGATAGAGTGTTGACATGTTGGGCGACGGGTGGCGACCCTAAGTCAGGGGTCCAAGGGGTGCCAACTGAATAATGTCAAAAAAGCCACGCCGTGTCGTTGAGTACAAGGCTGGCTGGCGTCGCTGGCGTCTCTCTGCGCGCGTGCAGATCCACGCACGTCGATAAATAAATAAAAAGCCGTTTACTGTATCGTCGATATCGTCGTTGCTGTTAATGATATTGTCGACAGTAATATCCTCTCCATCTCTCTCAACAACCTATACAAAAGTTGGAGCTTGGGAAAGGTCTGTCACCCCAAAAAAGAACAACCCCAGCGGCCGTAACAATAGCAGCACTAGACTACCGTTTCCGTCTCGGCAGCGTCGACAGCAGCACTATGTTCTCGTTGAAGGATGATGGTTGTGGTCGTCGTTGGTGTAGTAGCTGTACAACCCTAACCGCCATCTCGAATCTCTGGCAGCGGTTCCTGTCAAGTCTGTGCGTTCTTTGACACAAAGCTGACACCATGCCACACAATCACCGGTAGAACGGAAAGAAACTCGTGTGCGTCCTTCTCAATCAAGCGGAATTCGGATGGCAATCAAGTTCCTGTGCCTGTCCTGTGTCTGAGTGTGTGGTGTTGCGACTCGGCAAACGTGTGAACCCAGGGGTAACCGTTGTTTCGTGCAAAGTGCCGAGGCGAAAGAAATCGTTGCCAAAACAGTATAAAATATGCTTGATGTGCTTGATGTGTGAAACAGGCGTACTTTCTCTCCCACTTCTCGCCGTTCTGTCCGTCTGATCTAATGATATTTGGCTCTCGGTATTCGGATTTGGATTTCCCTTCCTTTTTCTCACCCCCTCCAGGAACTAATTCGGGTAGTGGTAAGGTATCTTTCAAAACAGGTGTCCCCCTGGCAGGGTGAAACCAGTTCACCGTGTAGTGTTTTGCAGGGCCATGAGTCGTGATAGCAAATATATCGCGGGGTGTGGCGGGATAGACAAGACCCCTGCTGCAAGTGTATGAGGGTAGGGTTCAATATTAAGGTTTTTACAACCACCAGTACCGATGTGCCTCCTTGGCCAATGACATCAAAGCCTGGGACAAATTGTCAGAATCGAGCTTCGGTGAAAAGAGGAACGAATCGATATCGTCAAAAAAGAAAAAGGCCTCGACGCCACAAAATTCTGTGATTTGTGACCTGTGCGTGTGTATGTGTGCCAAAAGACTCGAGCAGAAGCAGTAAGAAAAAGCCAAGGTGTGTGGAGTGGCGATGGTATGGGGAGGTCGGGAAGTAATAACTTACAGCAAAAAAGATGGGACGAAAGCGAGAAAAAAACCTGCTTATATCTTACAACAATTGCTATGATTATCGATATCCCTTTTTCAAAGATTTTCCCCTTGTGCATGGATGGGTCTCCCTCCTCATAAAGTGTAATAAGTATCCAGCAGCGAGTGTGTGCCCGGATTTGCAACTTTTCCATTACCACTCCACTACTCACCGCTTGCTCTCTCTCTCTCGGCTCCTCCCCCTCACTCTCCATCTCTACAACTCATACGAGAAATGCCGTTATGCGAAGCACTGCCCACTTTGCCCCAGCTTTTTTCTCATCTTCAATGGCCCCCAGCCTTTTTGCTAAACCTTAAATCCTTCGCTTAACCCACCACTCTTGCGTGAATGATGTGATAAACTCTTTGCCTGCCCTTTTCCCGAGCGAGACAAAATTCCACCCCTCCTTCGGAGGCAACTCCCCTTCCCCCCCAAGCCACCAAACTTGATAAAACCCGCATGATGCAAACTCTCATCCTATTAACTACCCCTTCAATTCCTCACAAGGAGGTCAGTGGCTTTCTCACCACCCCCCATCCGCCTACCTTTTCACTAATCATCCTCCCGCCGCTCCTTGTTGGTCATCTGCCTTCGTTGTCGTCAGGTTGTCAAAAGTCTGGGCAATGACATAGCCCACCCCAAACCGCCCCAACCCCAGCAAGCACGTGGACCAATCACCGCCCCCTTCGGCTGGCAAAGTCCCCGACCGCCCGGCTCCAAAGCAGTGTCTTGGCAGAGCCCTGTGACACATTGACCATTCAACCGCACATCGCGCGCCGCCGCGTTGCCGAGACATTCTCAACCTCACAGAACAACAACCGCATCGTTAATTGCTGTATGTAGCGGCGGCGATCCCCCCCCTCTCCTCCTCAAATGGAGGGGCAACCAAAGCAGCAGCCCAGGTACGCCCATGATAAGGGTTTTTTCCAGTAAAACAAGAACTACTTGAAAAATCCCGCCATGCCACAAGCTTTGGCGAGCGGAATACAAAACCTAGATCTCGCTTCCCTCCTCACGTTAATTGGCTCTGCTATCGGTGCCTGAAAGCTCCTCGCCCCAGCGAGTCGGAATCTGCCTGCCGGCCTAATAACAAGAAGTGCATGTTTGCCTTATGTATGAAGAAAGCCTGGATATTTTACCTCGTTTGAGAGATGTGCAATTCTTGGCTGAGGAATAACGATAAGCAAAACAAACCAAAAAAAAAAAAAAAAAAAAAAAAAAAAAAACTCCTCACAGCCCATCATCATCATCGTCGGTGAGAAACCAAAAGAAACAAAGTGAAGGTTTCAAAAGTAGCTCCTCTCTGGTCCCGCCAGCGATGACGGCTCCTGCGGAACCCATCGTTGTGTCATCCAGGGACCAGGGCAAGTTGCTCCGCTGGTGGCTGCTGTCGTGCTTGTGAAATGCTATCGATGTTGTTTCACTTTCTTTGCTGACCAGACTCCCGTGCCTGGCCACTGAAAAAATAGATTCTGTACGGACAGGATGACAGACATATGACTTCCTGTCCGCCCCCTTTTCCAGAAAAGTCCACCCTTCCAAACACCACAACAAAGAATTCCAACCGTGGCTATGACCTCACGGATAAACATCAAGTGGACGCACCATCACCAGCCTTGCCGTCTCTGTTTGCTCAATTCCAGAAAACCACCTATTCACCACCCAGACTTTCTTTGTACAGATATGGGTATCTTTCCCGATAATTACAGCAACGCCCGGCATGACCAGACAAGCAAGCATCTCATCCAAATGGCGTCAACTCCGATAGTTCTACCCAGTATTCGGCGCCCCAGCTAGGAAAAAGTCCAGCTCATTACCCGTACCCATCACAGACTCATTTTCGGCCAATTGTTCGAGAAGGCTGAGAAAAGGGTCTTTTTCATCACCTGCGGTGCCCGCAGTTCCTACACTTTCGCTGGGCGTAATCCCGGTTGGGCTTGTCACCATCGCCCCTTTTCCGTTGCCTGCTTCTTCGCCGTGGTGCCACGGTGTGGGTGTCGAAAAAGTGTTGGTAGGGAGCTCACCAAACATCGGGTCGAAGCCTTGGTGTGGGCCGCCTGTGCCCGGTGTTGTGGGGTTTCGATATCCTGAAAAGTTGAATGACGGACTGAATAGGCCGCTCGACATGCTGCTCAACCCAGCCGGGAGTTCGCCAGGATGCCCTCCTCCCATTGAAAACCCACCCATTGCGTGCGGTGCGCTTTGTTCATGCATGCCGTGGAATCCGCCCGTCAATGAATGTGGTGTGTGTAGCATATTTGGCGACTGCTGCGACGACATGGACGCTGCTGAGAATGAGTGGCGATGGGCACTGGATGGTGTTGACAACACTGGTGCTGTTGCCACTTTTAAACTGCTGTTCAAAGACAAAAGATTGCGTAGGTCTGGCCTCTTCCTGCCCGAGGGCGCTGTATTCTTTCTCTTGAGGTTCGGTCGAGATGGCCCTGCATCGCCCGCTGTGAGACGCGGCGCGTAGAGATCTTGACCAGTGTACGCATCAGCAGTAAAGTCGACAACCACATCCGAAAGGTTCAAGTTGGCGGCATCAAAACTAAATGCTTGGCCTCCCGGGCTGGTGGTACCCGAGTAACGATCAAAAAAGTCTTCCAGATGGAATACCGGGGACTGGCGCATGGCGTTGCTGTTGTGGCTCTTGACAAGTCCCGAGTGAGCATTGTACATGCCTTGTAGTGTCTCCCGTTGATGTTGAACACTCGCCCAGGCATACCGCAGTTCACTCAGCTGCTGCATCTCTCGCGAAAGAAACTCTGCCGAGGAACTAAACACATTCATCTCGCCTGTATTTCCCACCCTGCTGTAGTGAGCGCCGTGTATGTGGACTGTCCCTGCTGTGGATATACAAAATCCAACAAATGCCGGCCATTCGATCGATGCTGTCCGCTTTCCGACCTCCACAAGTTCTGCGATAGCGTTCGCATGGAGGAAACACATGTTGGTGGCTTCTATCTGCCATGACTGGTGCTGCCCTGTCCCAGTAAGTTCCGATAGATCGATCGGTAGAAATGGTCGGTATATAAGGCAGTGAATAAGATGGTAAACAAGCTTGCTCAATACAAGCACGGTGGAGTCAGGCTGGCCAAAAAGTGAATCCAGGCTTGAAAACACATCCTGCGTCCCAGATGCCCACACATCTAGGTCTTGGCGGATCTTTGAGAGATTGGATAGAGAGTGCCATGGAAAATGCGAATCTCCTTTAACGCCCCCAGCTGCCAGGTACTGGTTTGTTGTTCCCAAGATGCGACAAATGTCGATGAGCATGCCGCTGCTTCCTTGCGCTTTCTTTCCTGTGCCCTGTAAATATTGCAGATTGGTGTAGCTCTGAAAATAATCCCCATCGGCCGGTAGCGACCCGGGAACGGGCAACCACGACGGGAGCCTCAAGATGATGGCTCTGTCTGCGATCAAGGAAGGGCGTTTTGACCCGCAGGCCATGAACCGGTCGAGCAGATAGCAGCTCCAAAACAATTTTCGTCGTGTCTCTCGCTCGGTTGGCGTAACTCGTGCGTTGACGTCCATCTCTCTGTGTAGTTCGAGTGCCATGGCCATCCCAACCGCACTTGCTAGTTCTAGTCAGCTTCAGTACACAGGCACTATCACGGCATCAAATGCGTACTCAGCAACATGTATGCCCTTTTGCCTTTGCCAGCCGCAGTGAATGCGGTGACCAGCAGCACGAGCGCCTGTAGGGCATCGACTGACGGCTCATCTGTGTCGATTTCCAACCTCGACCGAGTGGCATAGTCTTCACTGAGCTTTACAGCTGATTGATAGCCACTGGGATGAGGGGTATATCTATGATCGGGGTCAGCCGAGATTGCCGCGGGACAGATCGGTGGCAGTAAAGGCGCTCACCTCGCTGCTACCGCAAAAATGGCATGTATGAGATAATCAGGAGCTTGACTGAGTTGTCGTCGTTGCCTCAGCGTAGATTCGTCCAAGATATGAAATGGCTTGTCATGGAGGCGACTGAAGTAAGTATCGAGAAGATCATCCGGCTGAACCTCAGGGGATGGCGGGCTAGTTCAACAGCGAACTGTCAGATTTCTCCGACCAACAACGCAACAGGGATAGCCAGGGCAAGAGTAGCATACCTCGAGTCTATTGATGAGAAAATGGCTAGGTCCTCACTTTCGTGGCTAGCCTCACTTGGTCCCGCTTGTTGCTCTGGTTTATCATCTGTTTTTGTGCCTGTTGTTGCTGTTGGAGACACCGACTCATCAGAGATATTGGTAGGCGGGTTTTCCGAGGTGGAAGCCTCGGGGTCAGTCTTTTTTTCTTTCAGTCGAGCCTCTAGCCCGTCGACTCTTTTCAGTAAAGCTTCCAAAACATCTGTTTTGGGCCCCCTTTTCTTTGGAACAGCATCTGTAGTGATGATGAGCAATGGGCCAAGGCAACGAATGATTGAATTAACCTACCGTATACACATGGGCACTGGAAGACCTGGCAGGCTTCACAGGCAGGTCGTAGACGGTTGCATTTGATCTGGTTTCATTCGCCCTTTATCAATCTCCGACCTTGAAGTTACCAGAATGTGTTGTGGTGCCTTGCATACCTTGCGTTTTCGACACGATTTGCAGTTCATAGACTCTCGTGGCTCGTTACTCATGCGTCGTGTAGGCAGTCGTTCAATGCTGACCTGTGGCCGTGACATTCCTGGGGGATGCATTCGGGGCAGTGCAGCAACCGCCCCCGGGTCGTAGGCTTGTGCCATCATTCCTGTCAGTCTGTGGAGCTGGAGATCGACTGGTTTCCTATATGCCGACTCCAGGTGCCCCTTCTCGGCATGTTCTCTCCTTCACCGATGTATATATATGGGGGCTGAGCCGACAAGAAATATCATGTAAGTGGTGGCGAGAGTATTCGCTAGGTGGGGGTTGTCGTTAGCACAGTGAGTTTTCCTGGTTGATGGCGAGCCTCGGGCGTCGTCTTGGGAAGTTTGACAGGACGCGAAGAAGGGAAGCTTGACAAGTAGGTGGTCGCCTTATGGCTGGAATGGTTGGCGAGATAGTAAGTCGATTTTCTGGGGTGCATCAAAGTGAGCCGCCCCCGCAGACAGCGTAGCACAGCACAATAAACTGGGGATCGGGGAGTTTGGTAGAGAGGGAGGGTCAAGTATGGGACGAGTAATTGGTCAGGGGCCGGCTTGTCAGACAGGATGATGGGGCGACTACCCCGGATGGAAGGTTTGATTCTGGGGAGTCCCCCGGGTGGAAGACAGGGGAGGCTACAGTGTAAGTACCTAGGCAGGTAGGCTTAGAGCCGATGACGGGAGGTGTGTGGCTATGAGATGGATTGTTGGATCGCCAGTGAGTGAACGGATAACTCACATTCACCCTCCCCATCTAGAGCTTGATCCTCGGCCCTTTTTGCTGAAGGAAAACACAATGTCCATATGATGATTGGGCGGCTGTCTCCGAGCATCTGAAACTAAGAGCTAGAGCCGGCAGTGGCCGTTTAAAGACGAGATGTCATAAAGATAAATGTGACCGAGGATGATGTCGAGGCCTGAGAGGCAAGGAAACCATGATGTTCAATTCCCACAAGAGAAGGTAGCAGCCCAACCCAGCGGGGAGGGGTCAGTGGAAAGATGTTGGCCAACACTGGAACTTGAGAAGGCACGATGTGTGTGGTGCGGGGAGGGGACGATGCCGGTGAGTTGAAGGATGAGTGGGGTTGGAGAAGTGGGAAAGAGCTCCGGGGAGTTGGTGGAGACGATACACCTTACGGAAAGCTGTGTTTTTCGGGAATTCCAGTTTGTCCCTAGGCGCTGCCAAAAGCAGAATGGGTTCCCAGTTACAGCTTGTCCTTGCCCCCTTCATCCCATATTCCCTCCCGTCCTGTCCAGCAGTTTGGTGGTTCAATGGAGTTTAACAGATTGAAAAGGGATGAAATTTCATCCTTGATCCCTGTATGTAACGGCGGCCCCACAGTACCACCTCCGCAACCGACGGCTTCAGGGCCCGCCATCCACAAGCCGTTGCTCTCCACCCCAGGGTCACTGTGACCACTTCAGGACGTCGACGACCTTCTTACTCTTGATTTGTATTCTTTAAACGCGCACCTTTTACCACTTCAAACATCGCCAGAAAATCAATGTTCTTCTCTCAACTTATTTACCGCCTCCAAAACAGCGGTGCCCAAGAGCTGTCAAGGGTCCTTCCTTGTCTTTCTTTGGTACCGCGAAGTCAAGATCCAACTGTGATTCAGGAACGATGTCCATTGACGGGAACCCGATATATGAGGGGAGTATTCAATGCTTCCTCGCCTCTATCCCGTCTCGACTTAAGCTCTCTTCCACGGCAATTGCTTCTGGGGGGCAGGTCACAAGCACAATGTGACGCAGCGTGACCGCTCGCTGGGCCTCTGGAGCCGCCTTCTGTTTATATACTGACGCTTTATTTCATATTCTGGTCGAGCTCTTTGGGCTGAAGCTGTGCGTCACAGTGAGGGTGCAGCGACAACTTAGGGGTCGCAATATCTTGATGTTTGCCGCGCCAATTACAGCTCACTGTTCTACAGTAACTGTTGATCTTGCCCGGCTGGGCTTTCTATACCAACCATATCAGCCAGGTATATCCTAGCTGTCGTCAATATCGAGACTGTGTCCCGGGTCGCTGCACCATGGGAGCGAGACACCCGAGGTCGAATACTTTCAAGTCCTCTTTCCGCATTACATACAAGGACGGGGACCATGATACGGCCGAGCCTGCTGTTCTCAGGAACTGAAGAGCGTTGAAGGTGCCGTTCGCTTAAGCAGCAAAACCCGGAACCCCCTGCAACCCGCGACCTTCACCAAATCTAGCCCCTTGCAAGATCGGGCTCTGGTCCCTAACGGTCGGCGATCCTTGGCAGTCTACGGACGATCGTCTCCCGAAATTCAACCCAGCTTCCTCGCCTCTTCCCTCACCTCGACCATGAAATCACCTCTTCACCGCATCACCACTTGCTTTCAGAACACCGCGAGCTTCATACTCTGGCGTAGCACTCTTTATGGAGCTCTCAAGCATCTTTGCTCCAGTGACCGCTTCAGGTTGTCGTCAGACAGTTACACTTGGTCACATTACACCTCCCCATTGCTGTTGCATGGCTGGGGATAGCATCAAGAATCATCATCATATTGTCAACTACCGGAAGTTCGGAACCGAGACTATTAAGCAAAGACCGGCATACCAACCATGACATGCCTCGATTCGGGGCCGTTTTAAGCTCTGTATCAGTGCAGATGTCCCCAGCAATTACGGTAAGGTAACCCGTCGAGCATGATGAAGATCAAGCCTCTTCTTGTTCTTGTTCTTGTTGTCGATCTTTTGCTTATACCCAGGAACCAAGCTCTTGTGCCTTGCTGTTGCTTGCCAGCCTAGACCAAGCAGCTCCGGTAGTTCACTGACCGCAGCCTGCCTTCCATATACCGGGTGTATCCTGCAGGCGGAGATGCTGGTGCCGAGCGCTAAGGTCAAGTAAGTGGGCACACTTCCTGCTTGATCTTCCAGGTTTGTGCTGTACATATTCTCGTTCCTCGTCCCGCGACACCTATCGGTCCGAAAATCTCTCCGTCGTCTGCTTGTGCTCAGGTCAGGAGCCCTACAAGCCCGGATTGTCGGGAGGCTCTCCGGCTTCGACTTCTCGATAACGCACGATATCCAGGCTGGTCTTTACTTTCTGACTTCACTATACAGTGTTTCAAAGCTTATTTGCTCATATCAACCTTTAGCAGCACTTAATCTACCTGAACATGTAGATACAAGCCCCTCGAGTATTGCAAGAAAGATCAGGTTGCTGTTTCGAACGGGGTTTGAAACACGGTTCGGTTCAATGGGCTAAGATCCATTGACTTCGGTGAGCTTCGGACGAAAGCATATCACTACCTAGCCTCTACATATTGTTCCCAAAGTCGGATTCCTGTCTCGTCTCCAAAGTATTCATTGTCTATCAAGGACTCGTTGAATCTGTAGCATCACTAGTCCACACCCCAACCCCGATCTCCGCCTTGGGTTTGCATGTGAGCTACTGCACCTCCCCGCAAGACGATACGACTGTTTGGTTCATGCGGTGGACCCGGACAGCGGAAGAGGCAACGCCATCAGGTTAGGAGAATTGGGATCAGGGGTCCGCTGCCGATACGCCAAGGTAGGAGATTTGAGAATCCGATTCGGTGTGGTTGGGCTACCCGAAACTTGTTTGTCGTCTTGCCCTCCAGACTTGTACAAAGTAATTGTTGCGCCCCTCTCTATATCTTACTCGGAATTCAAGATGGAAGAAAATAGTCGTGACGAGTATTCTGTCAAACAAGTGTGCGGTACACGCCTGGAGGCAAAGTAGAGACCTCGCACTGAAGACGATAGCACGCGGTGTACCTACCGTGGTACGTTCTCTATGATCTGCTGAGTTTTAGACGGCCGAGGGAGTTGAATCCATCAGTCTCGGTGTCAGATCATGATCGTTTCGACGACTCTGCCCTACCTACCTATTTGATATATTGCTCGGCTACCACTCGGAGTGCCTACCGAAACCTTAGACGACTGACAACAACATTCCTAGAAGCATCTGACGGAATAGTCACGGTAGGCCCAACAGCAAGCCTTTCAAAAGCACTCTAGGCACTATGCTGAACGGTCTCTTTCTCGGCCCAACCCGAGCCTGCCTAGATTGAAAACTCAGAGTAGGGACCGTTGTTTTGTTGTTCAAGTCGTTGCTGACAGCATCTTGAACCGTGTCCAACTGTTACGTCTATATTACTTGCAATATCAGAATCCTGCTCGAGAAGCTCTCAACCTGGGCACCAACGCCTTAAAAATTTATCACTAGTCACATCTCTGGTAGCTTCCAACTGTCTTGTTTTGTGAAGAAGTCCTGGCTGAGATTGCCTCCGGTGGGGTGCTGTTGTCGACAGTACGTCCTAGCGGTCTATGCTCACAAGGACCAGCAACTCGGTTCTGGGCAGTTTGTAACCCGGATAGATAGACGGTAGATGTAAATGTATCTTCGAATTTCGTTTCCTAATTAATTCTCATAATCCCCTTCCCCCAGAACCTGCCTGCCGCAAAGTAGGATCATCCGGGACTCGCATCCGATAGACCGCTCGCTCATTGACCACCACATGCACCTCACGTTCCACTCGCCACAATGAACCATCTGTGCATCAACTCTGTCATGAGTCCCCGATTCCAACCGCTACACCATAAGCCACACATGCAGACACTGATCATGGGAGAACCTCCCCAGACCATATGCCCGATATCCACCTCTCCGCACGCAAATGCAACACCTTTACACCATACTCTAGATGCCCATCCATCCAGTCCTTGTTGAGCAAGGCTTGGCTCATGTCTCCTCTTTTCTTAACGAGGTCGATGGACCGAGCCGGTTGGCGATGATCGTGACAATCTTGTGTTACGCTGCCCTGGCTCCTCATCCTATCTCTTGGTGTACAGCATGTCCCAAGAGGTCAGCTCGATTCATGTATCGATGCTCGTAATCGGGTAGCCAGGTAGCATCGCTCGAGAACCTAGACCGTACCTGTGAAAGTACTTCTCTTGTCAGTGAAACTCCTGTATAGCGGGGTATGTTACCAGATATCCTACCATTTCTCAAATAATACCCGAGCCAATATGCCATTTCATCTCCTTTGATGTTCAACTGGTCCGAGTCCCCTTTCAAAAGAACTGCCTCCCGCTCGCCAACCTCACAAAGCTGTACGGTACGTTCTGCCCAACC